ATTTTTATTTATGGTAATATTAAAAGTACAATTAGTTAATGAGCATTTTCAAAATTGAAACCGTGCAAAAATGTTCCCGACTCTTGATACGCATTGGTAATTGTTGATGATACTGATGATCGAGAAGAACTTTCAGCAATCAATCTCGATGTTGACGAATCATGAGGGTGTAAAATTTTTTGAGCATTATCGTTCTTATTTCTTATTGAATCCTCTATATATCCTTCGGCAACCGTGCTTGATTTCCAGCCTCCATGTCGTTTGAGGCATTCTAGATTTCCGCCTACATTAATTAAACGTGTTAGCTGAAATTCGTCGTAAAGAGTGACTAGCTAAAAACTAACTACTTTTTGGGCTACTGCGCTGATCGAATGTATTCCCATTACGCTTTTAGCACTTAGCACGTAGCACTTTCCATTTTGGTACTTGATAAAAAATCGGTTTTCTGTGAAATTTTAAGGCCGCAGTGATGTATACTTTTTATACAGTTTAATGTAGTTTTGACCAATTATCGTAAAAGATCTAGTTGTCGTGTTTTACTGTCTGGGATTTTGATAATTATTACATTTTCTTTATCCTCAATGTCCACAGTCTTCATTTTTACCAGTTCGTCGCATCGACAGGCGCCGGTAACCCCAATTAACAAAACAATCTGAAATATTTTTATAATTTAGTAGAGTATACTACATGCTTTGCAATATAATTTTTTTTAACTTTAATCCTAAATACAACTTATCTGGCGCTTCAAACAAAAATTTATCAAACTCGTCTTTAGTGAAAACTTTAGATTTCTTTGCAGTATATCCTTCGCTTGTTTTTTGTTTCAGTAAAGCACGTAATTTTAAAAATTTGCTTATATCCATATTTTTTCTAATAACTAACTCGGATTTTATCATAGAGTATCGTGATCACATTGTCGAAGATTTCAATTTATTTTTATTTTCCATTATAATAAAATATGCCAGTAAAACGTCTTCGGTAACTTGCCCTACTCCTCTTGTATCGCACCACTCTTGGAAGTGCTTGTACGCTAACCGATTCTTTATTCCGGACTTGGAAGGCCCCAAACGTGCTACTGCATCATTAGCCGCGGACTCAATTTCGTTTAGGTTTTCTATTTTCGCACTAAATTTGCGCTTGCGGTTGCAACAACAATAAGCTGTCTTTAATAATTGCAAACAACTGTCAAACAACTGTAACTAGGGAGACGCAAATCCCACTGACGACTTAATTATTTTAATTTCTAACATCTAGGCGACTTTGATAGTTGTCACAGTTAATTTCGAGTAAAAATGAATTGTACTATTTATGGTTGAAAATTGTTACGTTTGAAGAAAAAATAGTATACTTTATTCAGCAAACTTTATTTGTGCATGATTGTATTATATATCTTTTTAAAGGTATTTTCTAATTATATTACTGCTTATTTTTATATGTATACCACCATTTCATAGTTGTTGATGTATTTTTATTACTTGTGTTGCATTCAGCAACGTCATAATTTTGTTGTTGAATATATTGTTATTGTTGTATGTATGTATTTTATTTGTCGACTTCTAACAAGTTCCCTAATATAACCATAACTCTGAATAATTGCTTTTTACTTTTAAATATAACTATAACTTTGACCAGTAGAAAGATGAGGCTGATTAAGTTTCATAGGTAAGTAAGTGTAATACCTAATATATTTATTATTTGTTTATATAATGTGTTGGCCAAATTTATTTAATAATTAACTGTTGGTATCTTTTCTTGGGTTTGGTCTCTAAACCTAAATATCTTTCCTTATCTCTTTTCTTTTCTAAGGTTTCCTAATTTTTCCCTTAAACCCAAAAAAAAATGAGTGGTGCCCTGTTTCTATCTTATCTCATCTTTGGTAATTTTTTTTTTGTATCTTTTCTAATATATCTTATCTTGTTCTATCCCTACTTATTTCTTCCGTTGAACCCATTCCCGGTTCCAAAGCTAGTGTCGAACCCACGACTTCGCTCTCCACCAACCATCTGGCTGCCGTCCGCAGTGTCTCCATTGATAATCTTTCTAGCACCATCCAAAAAAGGTTTCCGAGGTTACACTACAAAAGCTCTGTATAAAGAAAATAAATTGTCCATTAAAATTCGAACAAGAATCATGTTCGACTTCACTACAACAAAAAGGGCTCCTGCAAAAAGGGTTATTCTACATCTCCAGCCCTATTTAACATATACTTCGAGAAAGTCTTTACTACATGGAAAAGAAAATGTGAAGGCATAAGAAAACCTGTACGAAACGAATACTATAACTGAGGAACTGACGTCAGTCCGTTATTGTCTGTATCCCGTTTTACGTTTTGACTCTTGAAAAAGGCAAGGGTTTCCTGCCGAAACGTTGATAGCTATGGAAAATAAAATCTAGTTCCACATTTAATATTTTCATTAAAATTTTTATCTGTCAGGATGTATTTGAAGTCGTCTGCAATTCCATTTATTCTTCTTTGATTTTGCAAATATGGGCAGTCATGCAGCAAGTGTTTACCTATCAATCAAGTGGAACAGTTGTTGCAAATTGGTAGTGGATCTTTATCGATTAAAATTTTTTTTGTGGCAGCAGTATGACCAATTTTTAACCGGTTTTAAATACTTATCTCGTTTGATTGTGGAGTGATTTAAAGAGCTGTACCTTTGGGCATAATATGTTTAATTTGGTTGCTGAATTTTTCCAGTAATTTTGCCAAATGGTATTGCAATGAGGAAAGTATATACTTCTGGATGGTCTTCAAGACTATCTAGACCACCAACAAAAATAATTTTCCGACAATAACTTGGTAGTGGTTGGTAAAATTGTTACCAACTGACCTTAAAATAAGGGATAATCAATGTTTTATGATAGGTGTACTACCTGACTTAAGGGAAGAAATTTACAATCCTACTTTTTGGCCGAAAAATATTGGCATTGAATGATTTAACTTTAGATTAAGAAGGAGATTTTTGGATCGACAGCAACACGATAGAGGTTTGTCAACTGAAGCAGATAGACCAGACTCTTTTTTAGTCAAGTAAATTTAAGAGAATCGTTATCAGAAAGTTGTTTAAAAATATTGCAACTTAATACTCAATATTTGACAAATAAGTTACTCAAACTTGAAGTCTTAACATTGCAAGAAACACCTGATATAATTTGTCTATCAGAAAATACTGAAGAAAACATAAAATTTATGACCCTGAATGGATACAACATCGCCTCTTATTTTTGTCGTCATCTACACAAAGCTGATATTAAATTCAAAATATTAGATGTCTCTAACTTTAGTAAAGAAATGGTGTATGAGTGCTGTGCGATTTCTCTGTTTATAGCCAATAGCAAAATGTGTGTTATTATTGTTTATCGTTCATGTTTATCGTTATGCTAGGTATATCACTCAAGGACAAGAAAACAAACACATGGATAAGACAGAAAACCAAAGTCACCGATGTGGTGCAAAAATCATTAAAGTTGAAATGGGAATACGCTGGACATGTAGCTAGGAGCCATCTAAACAAATGGCACAGATCAATTTTAACCTGGAGACCATACCAACACAAAAGACCCAGAGGCAGGCCTCCTATGAAATGGACAGATGATCTGAAAAGGACTGCCGGGAAAAATTGGCTACAAGTAGCGTACAATAAAAAACAATGGAAAGGAAGACTTGAAGAGGCTTATGTTCAGATGTGGACGTGAATGGCTAGACGAAGAAGAAGAAGAAGAATTGTTTATCGTTTGCCATTAGAAAACTTCAGAGTTTTCTATGTAAATTACACAACATATTAGAGCTATGCAGTAAGTCATACATATCATGATATTTATATTTGTGGGGATCTTAACATTGATTATCTTGTCATGTCTAATATTAAGCAATCTTTTAACGGGTATTTAGTAAGTTATAATCTGAGAGTCACGTTTGAGAGTTTGAGGTTCCTACAAGAGTTTTCGTAGATAAAGTGTGTAAAATATTATCTACAAAATTGGACTAAATATTGACAAATATCGAACCACATTTTTATAAATAAAATCTTTTCGTTGACACTTCAGTGACCATAAAGTATTTTCACTTAGTGTAAATTTTTAAGCCAATAAAGTATCAAAAAAAAACCATCAGTTACAGGGATATGTCGGATGAAAATATGTTGAATTTTAAAGCAGAAATTTCTTGTACATTTTTTGTTGAAGTTTATTTACAATTGAATGCTGAACATGCCATAAATTCATTTCTTAGCATTTTAAACTACAATCAAAATTTATATTGTCCAATAAAAACTAAATTATTTTATGCTTTGTCAATTTTGTTATACTGTGAATATTGTATTAATCACATTCATGTTTTTTATACTGAATTCTGTAGCGACTAATCCTATATATTTATTTTGAATGACTTAAAGGATCAATAAAGTATGACTATGACTATGACTAATAATCAATCCAACAAAGCTTGTATTCTACTAGGTAATCATTTAAATAGGCTAAATACAAGAAATCAAAATTCATTTCGTGATTTTATAATTGAGTAAAAATCAATCGAAAACAAAAAAGTAAGTGGTAACAACTTTTTTTTTTTTAATAAAAGACGAAAAAGTCTCTATATCCTGTTTGTTTGTGTTATATTTTCTGGAGTTGTTCCGTAAGTCCTAGTATATAATATGTTTACTATTACTTTACCATAATTTTCTTTTGTTGGAAAAAGATTTTTTTACTAATATGGCCTGAAAAGACTTTTCGAAATTTAATACTCGAATTCATTTTCTCCTAGTAGTATATGTAAAGCACGATTTACTAATACCGTATCAATGAAACCACAGTACATCAGTAAAGTAGAGTACAGTATATTTCATGTCCGCTTTCATGTCTTGGTACAGTCCAGGATCAGCTAATGTAACTTTGACGTATCCGGTTGATAGGACACGTACTTTATATGGCATACAAGATAAATATCCTCTTAATTCAATTAAAATATTGGAAAGTCCTTACCAAGTTATAAAATCAAATTTAAGTAGAAATGAAATAGCTTTATTCATTTTTTAAATTTTAATTATGAAATAATAAAAAATAATATCATTTATTTTTTTTTTATTGCTTTAATGACTCAGTTTTTGGGTGGACACCAGTATTTGGGACAACACTCAGGGTACAATTTAGTCTGATCACCGTCTACAAACTTGCATGGTGGACGGGCCGCTGCTGATGGACATCTGTAAAAGTTAAAATTTGTATTTAAATATAATAAACTAAAAGATAATAACATAAAATTAAATAGAAGAACTTTTTGGTTTTCATTATAAAAAAAATGGATAAGTACTTTATAAGAGAGTCCGAAAAAAAGATAAAATTATTGCTTTCATTTTCAATTTCACATTTTTGGTATTATACGAAATTTGATAAAGTCCATTTATTAGGAACTGTGAAAAAAACAGTTAAAGTCGAAAAAGTAATAAGACTAACATCTTCTAAAGAAGTAGTGACTGAAACAAAAAAAAAACATCAACCCAAAAAAAGCTCCAGAATATGACTTAATCACTGGTGAGCTCCTAAAAACCTATCTTATAAAGCTAGTGTAAAACTTACTATTCTGATTAATATTACCTTTACATTAATGTATAATAGGTACCCAAATTATAAAAAAAAATAGTGTAAGTGAAAATAATTGATAAACCAGAAAAACCTCCTAATGAAATATTGTACATACTATATACTTACTATACAGAACTATATCATTTCTTCTTGACTACCACTAAAAACCAGATATTTCGCCTTAAGTTTAATCACAATTTTTTCAATAAATTAATAAAATCATTTTATAAAAAATGAAAATAAATCTCACCATTCAAGTTACAAGGTAATTCGTATGCCCGTAAAAAATAATTACCAATAGTTCCAAACCATACGTTTATTTAAAATTCATGTTTAAAATGCATATCCAATGCTTTGGTACCATTTATAATTATTTTTTACGGACATGCTAATTACCTTGTAATTTTAATGCTGAGATTGATTTACATTTTTTATAAGATGATTTTATTGATTTATTGGCAGAATTGTCATCAAACTTAAGGCGAAGTACGTAGTTTATGCAAGATGGTATAATTACACCCTACACCACCACATTATAGAGAGGGGGCAGTGAGAACATACTTAAATACAAACTTTCCTTAACGTTGGATTGTTCTTGGTAGTCATAGTTCATAAAAATCCCAAACGAATACTTTATTATTATATTATATTTATTGTATATTATAATTAAAATACTTATTATAAATACTGCAGCAGTTTCTTTAGAACTAATGATACTATTTAATATGAGTCTACCTTTTATGGAATGTATTGACAAATATTTAAAGAACATGGTAAACATATCGAACACTTTTCAAACAAAAAAGTTAAGTGCAAATGTATGCCACATATGTGGCATATGTGGCGCTTTCTATGAGCTACATTAAAGTATGCAACAAATTATAATTCCTGATGTTCTATAGTATCCAGTTATGAATTTTTATACAATTTTCCATCCAATTTTCACAAACATGAAAGCTATAGCGAAAATTAAAATTTTAAATTTCCACTTTAATACCCTGTATTTTTTTGAATATCTACATTTGATTAAAGAAATTTGACTTAAATCGTAATATTTTAAAGTGTAGTATCTTTTTGTACAATTACTTAAGGGCCACTCTATACTCCATATTCACTTCCACGTCTTAGTACAGAATTCCTACTGTAAGGACTGTACTATCAGCTAATAACTTTAACTTTTATTGTAACTTTTATCGAGTTTGTCCATTAGGCCACGTATTTTATACTGCATACAAGATAAATATTCTCTTAATTAAATTAAAAAATTGAAAAGTCCTTACCGAGTTATAAAATCAATTTGTCAAGAAATAAAATAGCTCTATTAACTTTTTAAATTTTAATTATAAAATAAAAAAAAATAATATCATTTATTTCTTCGATTGCTTTGTTGACTCAGTTTTCTGGGCACCAAAATTTGGGACAACAATCAGGGAACAATTTAGTCTTATCACCGTCTACAACCTTGCATGGTGGGCGGGCCGCTATTGATGGACATCTGTAAAAGTTGTTAGGATGTATATTTGAATATAATAATTTAAAAGATAACAACACGAGTAAAACTAAATAGGGGAGCTTTTTATTTTACATTAGAAAAAAAAATATATGAATAACTACTTTATAGGAGAGTTAGAAAAAAAATAAAACAGAATTATTGCTTTTCATTTGTAATTATACGTTTGCGATAATATGTCAAATTTGATAAAGCATTTTTGGTCAAAACTGTGAAAAATCAGTTAAAGTAGAAAAAGTAGTAAAACCAACACCTTCTAAAGAAGTGGTGATTGAAACAATAAAAAATCAACAACGAAAATGAAATTCTTGTAGTTAGCTGATTACCAACAATCACAAAAGTTTATCTAAAGTCCTTTATAAAAATTCTTTATTAAATTATACACCTTTTACAAATAATTTGAAATTAACTTTTAGAAAACACCAACCCAAAAAAAGCTCAAGGATATGAGTCAATCACTGGTGAGGTTCTAAAAACCAACCTCATAAAGCTACTGTAAAACTTACTCTTTTGATTAATGCTTCCTTTAGGTTAATATATGTACCCAAATTATAAAAAATAGCGAAAGTGATAATAATTCATAAACCAGGAAAACCTCCCAATGAAGTGTCTTTATATAAATCGATATCACTTCTTCCTGTAATATAGAAGGTAAACGAGACTCTTCTGCCCAAAAGTATAAAAATAGTTAATTCCGACGAATCAATTTGGCTTAAGGAATAATTAGGCAATTGATCAAGTGCGTAGAAAAACAAATGTCATTGAAAAACCATTATAGGAAAGGAGAATATGTTCTGCTATATTTCTTGATGTTGGTGAAGCCTTCGATAAAGTGTTGGATGAAGGATTGATGAATAACTAAAAACATGTATGCCTAAGAAATTTTTTCAAATTTTGCAATTTTATATTACTACAAAACTGTAGCATTTTTAAATTCTTTGGAATATATTGAAGTTCCTTCGTATATGTTAAAACACCGAATAATATTTTCAATGTATTTCTATTTCCTTTCGTACATATTAAAATACCGAAATATTCTTTCAATACTTTTTACGCCGACACGAGTTGATAATATACACATTTTAAAGTTCGTTTATATATCACAGATGCATATTCTTTGGTATTTTCTTTGATTGTTTCCCGCTTATTATTGCATTTCAAATGAACATCCATTTTAATCGCTGAGAAAGTATTGCGAGGAAGATAATTACTCTCTCTAAAGCCGCTATTAAGAGCAGTTGGTTTCGTTGTAGTCCGAATTTAGCTTCAAATTCATATTGGATTTTCGTTTTTGCCCTTTTTTCATGGGAAAATGTGTAGCAGTGTAATGCTTTATGTGAAGTTAATACGGTTTCGAAGAATCGTTGACATAGTCAAGACGCTGTGAGTGTCGGCGTCAAAAACCGGCAAATCTATTAAAAAAAGTGAATTATACTCAATGTAATGTGTCAATTTTGAATGAGTAATCATTTTTTTATTTGTATGCCCTCTCTCTCTACTGAGATATTTGTAAAATGGCATTTACAAGAACTTTGAAGAATAACCACTTGTTTCCATTTTGCCCAGCAGCTTCCATCCTCGTTTTCTTTGTCCCTCGTTGTCATCTCAGACTTTTTTTGCAGTTTCGAGATAAATTTGTTCATGTAGCAGAGAATGGAAGTACAGTTCCTAATCCCCAGAAATTTTGTTTCATTTTGGTAGTTACCCATTTCGTCCCTTTGTCTTTTATATACCCACGACCCAAATTCTCCAAAAAGTTCTCCAAATAAACCCTAGTACCGTGTTTAGAACTGTTGTTTATTGGCTAGACACGTATGTTATGTCTGTGTTAGAATATAATATTATTGCCACTTTTTCTTGCAATCCTGCGATTTTAGCTGTATTTCAATATTGAAGAGGTAATAAACAAACTACAAACAGCAGTTAACAAAATACATCCTTAAACCAAAAAATGGAAAATTAGCCTGAATGAAAATAAATTTGTCCAATTTAATTTGACTAATAAAAAAAAAAACTAAACATACCAGGTATAATTAGAACTGAGTACCATATGCAAATATGCAAAATTCATAACTACGCTAAAAAGTACCTATAAAGAAAAATAAAGGAACGAAATATTCATGAGATACAAAACATTTTATTGGATGCTCAGAAGGATGCTCTAGAGGGAAGAAACTCCTCTCCATCTATACATAAATACCTTTTACTATATAAAAAAGTACGATGAGCTATTTAAACTTATAGTAGCCAAATCTGGAGGTGTGTCATGACTCCAAGACTGAGATGTAGTGCATAAAAGTCCTTCCCCCTTTTAAATTTAATGCTTGTTTTGTCCCTTCTAAGTGTTGTCTCTTCCTGTGTGTTTAGATTGTCCTTAATAGTTTTAACTTTAATATTTTTATATACTTGACTTTGCAATAATCTACCATTTTGCCAATAGAACTTTATCAAAGAAATTTGATGATTGCAAGTTAAAAGAATTGCACACCCACACAATTTGTACATCTAATCTTATTCATTGTCATAAAACTGTCACCTTCATAAAATAAATACTCAATAAATAACACACATTTCATAAATATATCTCTTGAATAAGTATAAATAACTTTTAAATAATACAATATAACATCACTTTCATCTAACAAACAATCGAATTACACCTATCTCTACTTCATTGGATCAAATCTATCTCCTCAAGAACTTCCCGTTTATTGTCAAACAACTACAATAGCAGACTTAAGTCCTCCATTCAACAATACATGATAGTTTCAACCATGTTCTTCCATCCATCAATTAATAGAGTACCGGCATCATTTATTTAACTTTGTATCGAGACCTGAAGATGCTTTCAGAATATAGTACTCAAAAATATTCAGCGACCTCTATAATGACCTGCGTATGAAAATTGTATCTCCAGTTATCAAAACGACGGCAAAAAGACATGAAAATGGCTCAATAACTAATTAAAAGACGGAATTGGACAAAATCCTTCGAATTAGTTTTAAGTGACAGTGAAAACGCAGATCGTAGTACTTGTGCGTGTGGTGCCCATCGAGCAAAAAGACAAAAGAGGGAATGTAAAGGTAGTGGGGGCAAAAATATTGTTAGACAGAAAGTACGATCTTTAGAGGCCACATTAAACAAGGAAAGAGAGTCTCTCTCCTTGTTTGACATCAAATTTAGTTGGGTTATGTTATTGTTTGTCCCAAATGTCACATGAAATCTTATTTATATTGAAGTTTTTTAACAATTGTGTCGCATTTTAGACTATCATCGTTAATACTTAATTAAAACTTTCTCGTCTAAGACACATTCTAAAATATTATACAGCTACTGTTAATAAATGTCTGACAATTTAAATTTGGCGCATTCGCATTTCCGGATATGTCCGCCATCAGAGGCCACTTTTTTGGTCTCCTTTTTATAAGGATTAGATTCCCTCTTTTGTCTTTTTACTCGATGGTGGTGCCTATTAATATTAGTGTACTATTATTACATTAAACGGTGCAAAAGTAAACAACATAGAGTAAACTCTCGATATTAAGCAACTTTAGTATGACCGGATTCCAGTAAAACTTTAAAGTTAAAATTTAAATAAGATTGATAGCAATCAAACTACTGTTTTTTTGTCCAAATTAAGCAACGCATCTCAAACTTATGCTTAAAAAATATTTTTAAAAATTAGAAGATTTATCCAAAACATACGTTTTCATGGAAATAGTTCCATCTTCATGGCAGGTGGCAACGTTACAGGTTCCTTGGACTGGTTTTTCTTCTCCAACTTTTATAACTCCTACACCAGGAACGTCTGGGCATTCAGTAACTAAAATTATACACGATTAGATTTACACTACACTAATTTCAATAAATAAGAAGCATAGTAAAGGAAACGCTAAGTTGAAAATTATTACAGTATATGCAATGTATACACTGTATTTTTTGTAAAATGTATTGATTTTTCTTTAATTCTCTAATATCTTAAATGTTGTGTACAACAAGATATTAATAATTTTTTAAAGCTATTTGTTTATTCAATTTTCTTTTTTTATTAACCCTCCGTTAGTCGCTATCGGTGTCACACACCGACACGACGACAGATTTCTTAATTCGGGATTTACAAATAACTTATTTTTTTACCGCCACTTTCTGTACCTCTCCCTTTCAACAAAACTCTTAGTGTTAGTGTACATTCTTACCTGCCTGGGTACAGTTGTGCGAGTTATATAGTTATTTTCAGTGCGAGAGTCCATAGCGACTAACAGTGTAACTATTATTTGTTGGGATAACTTGTAGATCAGGTAAATATTTAGCATCTTATTATTGCATTTTATCGGTAATTTTTTGTTAATTTTTATTATAGATGTCCTTTGAAGCCGAGCAAAAACGTTCGTTGGAATTATGGGAAATGGTTCCTACCGACGATGAAAATTATTTTGATGATGAGGGAAGTGAAAACAAAATCGATCAAATTGAGGAACGTGATGGCGGAAGTGAATCGGAACAAGATGTGACAGGTGAGGAAGAAGAAAGTGGAAGTAATACCTTAGCGTTTATTGAAAAGATGGAGTTGCCAAATGGAAAAAGGCTGTTTCACCGAGAAATGATAGAACAAGACAAGAAAATTACGTAGTACGTTTGCCGATGTCGAGATTACCTACACGTGACTTGAAGACTCCCAGTGATATTTGGAAATATTTTGTGAATAACGCTATGTTAGAAATGATTGTGGAAAATACGAACAAATATATAGACTCAATGAGAAATAACTTTGTTCGTGATCGGGATGCTAGACACACGGGATGCTATGTTAGAAGTGCAGGCACTAATAGGACTAATTTATTACGCAGCACGTCTTAAAGGTAATTAATCGTGTGAATCCAGATGAGTTTTGGAACACTGATGGATCAAGTATAGAGATATTCCACATGAGTATATTGCTTCCACGATTTAAATTTCTCCTTCGGTGTATGCGATTCGATGACAAAGCAACCCGTGAAAATCGACTAAAGGAAGACAAGTTGGCTCCTATACGAAGTTTTTTCGACACTTTTGTAACTCACTGTAAAAGTGGATACAGTCTTTTCGAATATGTCACCATCGATGAGACGTTACCAGGACTTAGGGGTTAAAGTCGATTTCGTCAGTATATCCCATCAAAACCGAACAAGTACGACATAAAAATTTTTGCACTCTCCGATGCAAAAATGTTTTATACGGCTTATTTAGAGGTATATGTTGGCCAACAACCTGAAGGACGTTTTCAAGTTAGTAACAGACCTAGTGATGTTGTTCAACGGCTTATGATTCAGGCCGAAATCTAACAATTGATAACTGGTTTACAAGTATCGAGTTGGTGAACAAGTTATACAAGAAGAAAATTACGGTAGTGGGAACCATTAGGAAGAATAAAAGAGAATTGCCGTTTGAATTTTCAAAACCAAAGCATCCTATAAATTCTAGTATGTTTGGTTTTAATCAACATATTACACTAGTTTCCTTTATTCCTAAAAAAATAAAAATGTATTGTTTGTATCCTTACTACATCATGATTATGCAATTGATTATAGTAACGGTAATCAAAATAAACTAGAAATTATCACCCTATACAATTCAACAAAAATAGGAGTCGACATGGTAGACCAGCTCAGTGCTAACTACAACTGTTCAAGAAGCACAAAGCGTTGGCCGATGGTTATATTCTATACCATATTGAATATATCTGGCATTAACTCAATGGTTATCTTTAATGCAAACGGTAAGAATGGAAAAACGTGAAACGACGTGATTTTCTAAGAAACCTTGCAAATGAGCTTATACATCACTATTTAAAAAGTCGAGTTACCACTACAAATCTCCCAGTTAGCCTCAAATGCCGAATTCGCGAAATTTGCGGCATCACAGATGTAACTTCTGTAGTTCCAGAAAGAAATCAAACAAGGGGTCGTTATGCATTTTGTACTACCAAAAAGAACAGGTGTACTCATTTTTCATGCACTAAATGCAAAAAATTGATGCGCCTTGAACATATTCATGGAATATGTCAGCTTTGCCTGAATGACGCTACAACATAAAATTTCTCAATTACTAAATCAAGTGAAATTCTTACTTTATATTTTTGTTAAAAACCGTAGTTATTTTTTTTTTTGTTAACTTATATTCCTCTTAACTAAAAATTACGAACTGTTTTTCCGTTTTAAACATTTTAAAACTTTTTTTTTAATTTAATTTTATGTTACAAATAACAATATATTGTTATACTAGTGTTTTTTATTTTGTATCTGTTGTTTTTCAATAAAATATTTTCAAAAATGTTTTTCAGTCATTCCTATACACAATTTAAAATATTTGTATGCATTTTATAACAATAACTATTTTTTTTAATTGTCGGTCTCAGACACCGTAGCGACTCTTGATGCTCAGTTTCTCCTAGCGACTAACGGAGGGTTAATAGGTATTAGGAATTATTATTGACTATTGTAAAGTTTTAAATGTTACCTTACTTATAAGTGGTTAGGCCAAAAGCAGTTTTAAAATTAAGTTAAAAAATACAGAAAATATTCTACTAAATGCAAATACTGATGTATTACTCAGATGAGATTTTAGGAGGACTAATTCGTTCCCATACCTATTATTATAAAATATATTTACATATATAACAAAATATATGGGTTCAAATTATTTTTTATGCACATTTTTAATTTGTATGATTAACCGATGAGTATTATATAATTTACCTGCGTTTACTGCAACCACTATACACAAGAATAAAACTGCTATCATCTTCATTTTGATTACCTAAAATTGAAACGGATTATTACTAAATTTATTATAAGATAATTGAATTAATAAAGTAATAATGAGAAATTTTAACATATTTTAATATTTATACGTCGCTAGGAAATACATTAATCAATTAATAAAATAAATAAACCAAGTATGTGACTAGTTACTAGGTTATTGTTAGTTACTTCTTTTAATCCCAATAAGGTGTTTAAAGTAATATTTAAATATTCTATTAACAAAGTTATATTATAATAATAAAAGACCCTGGTAAAGATGAAATTAATATGGAACTAATACAATACGGAGGAAGGAAGTCGAGAGGAAAAATACTGACACTATTGAAAAATATATGGAAACAAGAGAAAATGTCAGGAGACTGGGACGTAGGGCAATTCATAACAATATATAAAAAGGGAGACAAACAAATTCATGAAAATTATATAGGAATAACGTTACTAACTACAACATATAAAATATCGACATTAATAATAAAAAGGAGGTTATCAAAGATAACAAGGAATACAGTGGAACAGATTACCAATGTGGATTCACAGAAGTACGATCTACAATAGATGCAATACACACAATAAAACAAATTATGGAAAAAGTAAGCGATATAAAAATAATAATTGGAAATTTTGTTCATAGACTTCAAACAGGAATTTGATTCAATTAAAGGGAAAGGATTAATGATAGCACTTAAAAAATTAAAAATTCCACATAAACTAAAGAAAATTAATAGAAATGACAATATAAATTACAAAAATTAGCAGAATCATGCAAAAAGGAGAGACAGGGGAAATCGGTATAAATAAAGGGATGAAACAAGGAACAACGCTATTTAATATAGCCTTAGAATATGTACTACGAAATATAAATAAAGAAAATCTAAGAATAAAAGGTGGTCAAACAATCGCATGTGCAGACAAAATTGCTATTATTGCAAAGAATTAGCAGCGAATTAAGTTAGCTTATTTTGCAAACAAACGATTACTTAAAAGCCAAACACTGACTTAGAAAACTAAAATGAACATAAATGTTTAATTTGATATAAGGCTGAATGCTCGAATAAATGGAGTTTGATAAAATGAAAGGCAGATATCGAGCACAGCTTTATTAATTAAATCTTTATTATTATTATTATTATAGCATAAGCGAGGGCAGAGAAACTAAGTCCCTATTATGCCCAAAAACAAAGAAATTTCATTAATAGCTTACTAGTAAATGACAAAATTACAAATAAAAAAAAATAAAAATACAATTTTATGATTTAAAAGAAAAACAATATTTTAACTATAATATAAAGGTCAATTCAGACACATCAGTCACGTCTTCTCACAGTGATTGCGCCGAATCGAACAATCCGTCATACAAAATATTCTTTAATACAAATATATTGCCGGCATTCACACTCATCAGTTGACAAACAGTTTCCCAGCTGTCAGATAGTTGATAGTTCTGTGACCAAACAGGACCGGTTCGGTACCGTGACTGTGACGTGACTGATGTGTCTGAATCGACTTTAAAACGGTCAAGTGTGTTTTTGAACGAGTTGGTATAGGGAGCGGAGACAATGTTATCGTTAAGGTTATTTCAGCACTCAAAAACTCTATTTAGAAGAAGTTCTGTCTTGATTTTGTAGAAAAATTTTCTTTCTTTAGTTTATACTGATGACCTCTGAGGCGTTCATATTGATTTATGATAAATATTTCATCGAGGTTTTCAAAATTGAATTTTAGTATTTTAAAAGTTGTAATTAAGTCTCCACATTGTCGGAGAAGTTCAAAAGACGTTAGGTTCACAAAATTAAAATTTTGGGAATTCAAATATTGTCAAATATCAAAAACATAAATATGACCAAACGCAACATGTCATACACATTCTTGTGGATCGTGTGGCCTGAATTTAAGAGGTGGCCTGAAAAATGTATTATATTTTTACAAAATTTTGGAATACATTTAATTCGTAGAACAATTTTAACATTTGTTTTTAATACATATTTCAGTCCTCTACAAATAGTTTCTTATGACTTTTGATGTAAAATAATGAGGAAAGCAGGAATTCAACAATTCAGAATTTCCCATTTAATTTTCTGTGGCCGTTTGACGATTCACCACCCTGTATGTTATTAATCGATTGATTACTGATTTTTGTGTATGTCGTGGCACTGCTTAAATTATTTGCTAAGTTTTTGATAATGTTATATGCTATTACCATTCTTAGTATAATAGGAACTGGAAGTAATTAAAAAGTAATTTAAAAATGATTTTTAAACACTTACGGAATTTTTTAAAATATAATAACACAAAAATGAAGACCAACTTGGATACATTTATTGAAAACTAACTTTTCTACTTTTCTTATAATAAGGTACTAGAATTAAAAGAACTACACTCATAGACAAAAATATCGAATATTTTGGAATTTTTCAATTTTTTTTGTAGTCACTATTATTTCAAAATAATTTTAGATTACTGACGATCCTCATATAGTAGGCTGATATATTTTACTGGTTTGAAATATTTGGACGTTTTTATTTTGACGTTTATTTATAAAACGTCAAAAGAAAAATAAAAAGCGTGAGATCAGAAGTACTACCAAATATAAAGGGATTCTAAATAGAAAGAATCTTTAAAAGAGCTAAAAAATAATAAAGCTCCAGGACACGACGGTATAATTGCCGAGCTCTTGAAAACAAGCAAGACATTAACAATCACTGTACTAACAGAGCTATTTAACAGATATCTTCATAATAGCCAGATCCCTAAAGACTGGAACGAGAGTCTAGTAATATTCTTACACAAGAAAAGAAGGCAAATGTGATCTACAGATTTATAGTCATATTTTGTTGCTCAGTCAAGTATACAAACTATTTATGAGAATTATTAACAACCCGTTGATCTACAAAATGGACAATTACCAATCGCTTGAACAGACTGGCTTCCGCAAAGGATATATAACATCAGATCATCTGCTGACAATGAGAACATTGATAGAGAAGGCAAATAAATACCAACTACCCATATTTCTTACCTTCGTCGACTATGAAAAGGCGTTTGATAGTATCAAGAGTTGGGCCATAAAACAATTTATTAATAATTGTAGAATAGATTCGAGATATAGGCAACTAATACATAATATATATGAAAATGCAACTATGATAGTACAACAAGACGAAAATACAAATCCCATCCCCATTAAGAGAGAAGTAAGACAAAGAGACGTAATATCATCAAAGCCTTTCAACCTTGCCCTAGAAGACGTTTTCAAAACTACAAATTGGTCAACTTATGGCATTAACGTTAATGGCAACAAGTTAAACCACCTGAGATTCACTTACGACATAGTGATTGTAGCGAGCACATTCGAGGAACTGCAAATTTTTATGGAGGAACTAGGAGGCAGCTCCAAATACGTCGTCCTAAAAATGAATATGAAAAAAACAAAAATAATGACAAATACAGATGATCCCAAATGTATAACTATAAATGGCAGTAAGATAAAACAAGTCCAAGAATATATCTACCTAGGCCAAATCCTGAAACTTGACAAAGAGAACCAAAGTGCGAAAATTACTAGACGAGCAAGACTAGCATGGGCAGGATTTGGAAAACTTAGTTGGATACTTAAGAACCGCAAAATACCCCAATACTTGAGGAGCAAAGTGTTCAACCAATGCATCCTTCCTATCATGACATATGGGTGTCAAACCTGGACCCCAACCAAGGCAAACATAAATAAACTAGCCACAACAGAAAATAAAATGGAAAGAGCAATGTTAGATATACGACTCTCAGATAAAAAGAGGAACGACTGGGTAAGATCAAAAACAAAAGTCGAGGACATAACAAAAATTGCCAAACTTAAATGGAGCTTCGCGGGCCACAGTGCTCGACAAAAAGACCAACGTTGGAATGCTACAATACAATATTGAAGACCTTACGAAAGTAAACGACCAAGAGAAAGACCACAGAAAGATGGATGAGATTGTGAACCATAATGATGACATAAAAAAATAGCCGGAACAAATTGGAAATATGTTACTCAGCATAGAGACCGATGAAAGGAGTTGGGACAGGCCTATGTCCAAACATGGACGATATAAGGCTAAACAGAAGAAGAAGAACCATGATTTTAAATTTTAAGGTTGCATGTAAAAATAAAATATTTTCTCAGTTTTATAAATAAAAAAAGGGGTGATTATCCACACACAGCTACTGTCAGAAAATATCACCACACAGTCGCCGGGTTAAATGAAAAATTAAAAAAGATTGACTATAATTGTTTTATAAAAGTACACACAACCCATTGCATATCAATCATATAAGAAAGTTGATATGTTCTATGAGACATATGCCGGTGTTTCTCGATATACAATGATTGAAGTATTTTACTACTAAAGTGGTTTGAAACATTTTTTATATGCTCCATAGTTTGGTCCACCCCGTATATAATATTTAGATGTATGATCCTAGATCTCAGTCAATTAAAAATATAAGTATGGACCTTTTCTTTAGCGGTCTAGAACTGGTAGAAGTAGTAGTAGTGGTAGAAAAAAGCTACTTTAAATTGTAGTTAGATTTGAAATACTTTGCATTAAGAACATTTTGAAACATTTAAACTTGATCGTTCTATGTCGAAAAAATTGTTTAAAAAATAAAATAACATATTAAATAAACAGAATAAAATATAATTAAGCAAATAGCAGTAAACAACGGATACAACGAACAAACAATTAATAAAATGTTAAATCAAAAACTACACAAGAAAGCCCTGAAATTAGTATTTCTACCACCAGAGAAAAAACCCAGTACCTTTTGCTCGATTACATATACAAGCAAAATAACAACAAAAATTGCCAAACACATAAAAAACAAAGGAATAACACCAGCTTTCCGAACAAATAACAACCTAGGCAAATATATTACAAATAACAAGAGCAAAAATAAAAAACACTTAAATAGTGGTATGTACAAACTTCAATGTGGCGACTGCCCAAAAAACTTACATCGGTCAAACTGGTAGAAACTTTGATAAACGAATAGCAGAACATAAAAGGGCTTTCAAAAATAGAAAAACAGATTCGACATACGCACTTCACCTTCTAGATCATAATCATTCTTTTACTGACAAATTTAAAATTCTTCACATTCAAAATAAAGGCCTTAAGCTATCTTGTTAGAATCTATGGAAATCAACAAATTAAAAAACACAGATATAATTCTGAATGACCAACTTGAGACAAACAGTTTTCCCCTTCCTCAACCTATTTCGTTAGAGACTATAAATTTGTAAACCCAAGCCAAAAATAGATCACTTGAGAAAGGCAAGTAGCCGAAACCGCTGTAGTGATAAGATTTAAAATAAATTTTGTGGAAGTTTGAAAACAAAGTTTTCAGTGTTTTATTGTTACATAAAATGAATTTCCATCAAGTAACGGTCGAATCCATCAATTATTAAATAAACTTTAAGAAAATTTCAAGAATCCCAAAAACAATTGAGATTCATTTTTTGTATACAAATACCTAAATAAAAAAAGTTAGATAATATAAAATAAGTCGTAATTAATAAAAGATCCATTGTTTAGTTAAACGGTTCTAAAAATAAATTCTCCTAATTACTTCAATACCTATATATCCTAAGTTTTTGTTATAATGACGTAACGGAAAAACCAAAGAAACATCTATTTGCAAATGAATTACTAAAATAAGACACCTACCTTTTCTAAGAACGACTAGGTCTGTTGGCTGCACAATTTACAATTCAAGTGATGACCCATTAACATTTACTTTATATATGAATCCAGTCGCGTTAGAAATATGACTACGAATCAGTAAACGTTATTTGAAATAAAATAAATAATATTAACTACCAGATAATGATTGAGCCTATTAAAACAATAATTTATTTTAAATAATGACAACGATTGTCACAGATTTATTTTTAAAATCTACACATACAGAAGTACTTTTTTATATATTTTATTATGATTATATTTTAAAAGAGTAAGATTTAATTTTTTTTAATATTTCATATTTTTACTCTAAATACTTATAGTCCTTCTTGTATCTTGTCTGTTACTGTATTTTAGTTTATTGACCATATACAAGAATTTATTAACCATATTTTACGGGTTAAGGCTGTATTAATTGGCGGTATTATAAAAATTTATCAACTATTGAAGGACCTAACCACTTAATTGGGAGGCCATACACACATGGTATAGCTGCAGCACTCCGGAGACGCTAACGTCTAATTGGGAGATCAGACAAGTAGTCCATTGATGTCATCGATGCCATAAGTATCATCCTCACTATATTCATTATTAAGTATTATCAGGGTTGATTGTTTTTTTTTATTTTTTTAATAAATATAATTATTTAAAAATTGTTTTAGTTGCTATCAGTTAAGGGCTCATTATTTGATTCCTAGTTTGAGACAAGACGAACTCACACTTGAAATACTAAGTCAGGCGAAGCATAGACGATAAGCTCCCATGGTTGGTTGAAGTATTATTTTTATAACATTTCTTCAATTCTCTTTGGTAGTCTTATCGCTACAATACTTCGTTTATATTCATTTTGAAAGTGAAAAATAAAAATAATTTTACTCTAGAGAAAAAATCACATTTTTTAATACACTTCATATACAACTAATAAAAGTTTAATCTGATGGTATATGGTATATCGTGATCAGTACACATAACTGTTTGTATGGGAAAATAAAACTGCTTTTACTATTTTCCTTACAATTTATCATATTTCCTCGAGTTACAGCGAAACGGAAAAGTAAATAGACGTGTTGAACGCCACCTACGTTTAAATGAACTACCACTGTAACAATAGATCGTATAAAACATTTTGTATCAGTTTAAAGTAACTGTTTGTATGAGAAAATAAAACCGGTGCTTCTACTATTTTCCTTATAATCTTGTCATATTTTTTTACCTATTAGACCTTTCTAGGGTTTTAAATATATTATTCAAAACCAAAATTAGCCAAATCAATTCAATGGTTCTCGAATTAATAAAAATAAGAATATAAACTGACGTTTATTAAACATTATTTAACTAGGAAAATCTAAAGGAATCAAGTCAGGAGAGCGAGCTGGCCAATGAAATGAACCATGCTTAGTAATATATCTATCCTGAAACGTGTTGTGTAAGATGCTTAGCAACACGCTCAAAGTTATGAGAACGTGCTCCGTCTTGCTGATACCAAGATGAAGCCGCCACTCCATTTCTTGAAGTACGTAACGCCGGTCGTATGGCTGATTCTAACGGAGTCAATATCTTTTACCATTTAAATATTCATTATAAAATTTTAAGGATAATTTTTTTTTATTATTGAGTTAAATGCCTCGACAACTAAGATCATTGGCATGGTACAGTAAGCTACCTAGTGTAGTGTGTGTGTGTAGAATAATTGTCTTGATACTTAGCAAAGTCGACGTCATTGTCTTTGCTAAGAGACGCTAATTGTATCCGAACGTCTGCGGTCCCTCCGGTGAGTACCGATCGCACAAGGATAGAAATTATTGTCATTCATTAATGTTTAATAAACGAAAATTTCTCCACCCAAATGAGTTTCGAACTCATGACCTTTAGGTTTAAAGGTAGGCGCTCTTACCACTGAGCCACAGAGGGGTTAAGGATAAAATTTGATCGTCTTGTATTGCCCAAATATAAGACTCAATATTACATTATCTCAATATAAGAGACAATATATAGACTCATTATTTACGTAGTTCTCTACCATATATTTGGCCATTTTCATAAATAGAGGCAGGTTAGGAATTTCCGCATGAAATCGTTGAAAAAACAGTCGCCAACTCATTCTGGGTCCAACAATGGCCAGCCAAATGGTGGTGCAGCCACTTGCCATTGGAATCTCCTTTCTGTTAAGTGATTACCAAACCAAGTTTTTAAATTTTGCGAAATCAACTTTGAGTCAAGTGAAATAAACACCAAATTCGGTTCACAGATAGTCAAATGACAATTCCGAAATTAGCCACAAGTCTTAATGGACTTAAAACGACACCAGCTTTTTCGGAGCAACGAATTAATTGAGTAATGCCCTTTTAATAAGGCATGGATGGTAAATAATTGCAAGAAAAATTTTGGAACGTATTAAAATGTACCATCCAAGTAATATTCCTCTGCTTATTATACTATTAGCAAAAATAATAATATTTTGTTGCGAATCGTTATCCAATACAAAACATTTATCGCGGTCCGTCTTTAGATTCATCTGCTGGATTGCTTGATGCGTTTTCCCATTGTCTTAGATGCAGGTAACATTAAAGGAAAACGATCGATGCTCATATTCCTTCAAATACAAGCGATGTTCGTTGATCTCATGTGTTCTGTGAAAAAAGAAGTTGCTATCTTTTGGTGAATGATTTTTGATGGCCTCCCTTGAGCTTTTATCTTGCAGGAGTTGCTGATGATTTGACGGCTTAGTTTTCGAAGGTCGCTTACGTGATTGTGTTTCAAGACGCAATTTAGAATATTTTCCGCAACTAAAATAATTATAGAAATATAAACACGTACTGGTAATTTTCAGAAAACTTTATTAAATAAAAAATGTCTTTTTTAGTTTTCAAATTTTAATAAGTTCTTTGCATATTTTTAGGTTTCATGTAAAACGTTACTTGATTAAATTATAAAAAATTATCCATTTATGGATATATCAAAAAAATATTAAATTTGGATCTTCAGCTGGTATTGCAAAACTTATTATAAGAGTACAAGTGTAATTATTGTACACAGAAATTGGTTAATTACACTAAATTATTTTCCAATTCTGGCACTTTGAATTTTTATTAAAATATCTAGCAAGAGAATTGTAGAGTATTTTTTTACAAACTTTAAAGAACAATATTGACATACATTTGTGTTTAGATTTAAACTTCTAAATATGTAGGGTGTTTTACTCTACCACCGTTCACAAAACATGGAAATTTTGTCAAGTAAGAAAAATAGCGTAGTTCTCTAGAATTAACTGAATAAGGGCAAATAAAGAGAAAGTTTTAGACGCGTACAGTTTTAGGTTGCTATCAATAAAATATTGCAGAATTCCCAAATAAAAACCAATAAATTACATTTGCATTTAATACATCTATTTTAGATTTATTCTGTCAAATTACCTAATCTTAGCGGTTTGTGAGAGGTTTATGGTCTATACCTGCCACAAGGTGCAGATAGGCCAGTGATAAGTTTACCAATCTCTCAGAGTCTATTTGAAAATACTTACTTTTATTGCGGTGACGAGTTTGTACTAAGTACGAAGGTAATTATGGTAATTGGTGATGAGTTTACGTGTACCCATATTTTTTTGAATTAACCATAAATGGACCATTTTTATAATTCAATAAAGTAATTTTTCACATGAAACGTAAAAATATGCAAAGAACTTATTAAAATTTTAAAACTAAAGAAGACTTTATTTTATGTAATAATGCTAAGTTTTCTGAAAATGGCCAGTATGTGTTTATATTTCCATAACTATCTTAGTTGCGGAGAATATTCTGCACCGCGTCTTGGGACAATATCACGTAAGCGACCTTCGAAAACTATGCCGTCAAGTCATCAGCAACTCCTGAAAGATGAAAGCTTAAGAGAGGCCATCAAACATCATTCACCAAAAGATTGCAACTTCTTCTTTCAAAGAACACATGACAACAACTCTTGTACTCGGAGGAATATAAGTAACGATCGTTTTCCTTCTATGTCACCTGTCCCTAAGACAATGCGCATCAGGCAATCCAACAAATGAATCTCAAGACGGACCGCGATAAATGTTTTGTGTTGGATAACGATTCGTAACAAAATATTATTATTATTGGCATTCTTGAGAATTTTCGATACTAAGCGAAAGCAGAAGCATATTACTTGAATGGTACATTTCAATACGCTCCAAAATTCTTCTTGAAATTATTTACCAGCCATAACTTATTAAATAGGCATTACTTAATTAATTCGTTGCTTCAAAAAAGTTGATGTCGTTTTAAGTCCATTAAGACTTGTGGCTGATTTCGTTATTGCCGTTCGACCATCTGTGAACCGAATTGGGTGTTTATTTCACTCGACTCAAAGTTGATTTCGCAAAATCCAAAAACTTGGTTTGGTAACCACTTACAAGAGGGGACATTCCAATGGTAAGTGGCTGCACCACCTATTTGGCTGATCATTTTTGGACCCAGAACGAGTCAGCTATTATTTTGTCAACGATTTTATGCGAATATGCCTAACCTGTCATTTATAAAATGACCGATTATATAATACAGAACTAAGTAAGTAATACCTTTTTTTCCCTCTAACTTTTTGAGCATCCCAGTATAGTTATATACATTTCATCACAAATCCATGCAAATCCTCTCATTTCCATTTTTTCAACCATTTTTACAATTTTTATTTTAATATCCTCAGTTTTGTATCTACGCTTCTAAGGTACTAAATAATGGTGTACATAAAACTGCAGAATTTACATGTACCTGTCCTGTTTTCACAGGATAATGTTTCTTTAAGTAGACTTTAACCGTTTGTAAAAGCCAGAAGACTGTACCTAAGCATTTTAATTTATTCGGTCATCATAAATATATTTCTTCTTCTTCTTCTTCTTCTTAAGATGCCGTGCATTTCTGCGTAGGCGTCCACCGTACATCGTCTTGTCAGGTGAGATGTTAAATATTCTGGATTAAATAATTCTGTTTTTAGCAGCATTGCCAAGCATTTCATAGCTGTGGATTCCTGTCCACTGTCGAATATTGCGCAGCCATGACATTTTTTTACGTCCGAGACCTCTCCTACCCTCTAT